CCACAGATACGAGCTCCCAATGTAGGTTGTATAACCACTTGGGGAAACCTTTGTGAAGGAGACAGGGACAACCCTTGCTATCCAGAGCTTATGTTCTCTTGGGGCTCATTGTATAATTTCTCCAGTTTTTAAAGTTTCTTGACTTCAGAGTTGCTTTTTTCTTGACTTCAGAGTTACTTTCCTAAGAAATTTAGGCTGAACTCCATGTATATATGTCAAAATATACTCTACACATATCTAAAAAGAACAATTGAAATTTAAAACGGGGGGCTGGGGATATATAGCTCAGTTGGTAGAGTACTTGTCTTGCGTGCACAAGCCCCTGGATTCAATCCCCAGTACCATTTTTACACCATTTTATATGTTTCATAATGTTTTGTTGCTGATATCTTTAGACAGATCTGAAGTACTGATGTGTAATGTATTTCGCTCCTAGAATGCAAAAGATGTTAAGAATTCTGGCCATCCAGGCACTTGCTTGTAATCCTAGCACCTTGGGAGGCTGAGGCAGGAAGATGGCAAGTTCAAAGCCAGCCTCAGCAACTTAGCAAGGCCCTATCTCAAAATAGATTAAAAGGGCTGGAGATGTAACTCAGTGGTAAAGCGCCCTTGGCTTCAGTCCCCATACAAAAAGAAGAATAAAGGGTTTAAGACCATAAAGAATGTGCATTCTTTGCTTGTAGATTTTTAAAACGTGTTTCACCTTTTAATTCTAATGTAGAGTCAAGTTTATTTTGAACAATTCCTCATTCTGCGACTTCAATTATGAATAGCTCTTACCTATTTCCTGAAAGTAAACATTCTACCCTCCCACCAAAAATTAATATAAAATCCCTAATTGAGAGGGAGTGAGTGGTGTGTGCATGCTTTAAGATGAATTTTCTGGGCTGATACTGGTTTCATGTATATTTATGCTAAAAAATTTTCAATAATGAAAGCATTATGTTCTTTCTTAATAGTAAAATTGGAGAAGAACAATCAGCAGAAGATGCAGAAGATGGGCCTCCAGAACTCTTGGTATGCATTAGCTTTCTTATACAAAATGTTATATACAGATTGGATTATTTGTCTTTTATCCATTTATCTCTAGGGTGAGTCACAATTTCAGGGGCTGGGATTGTAGCTCAATGGTAAAGCGCTCGCCTAGAACATTTGAGGCCTTGGGTTTAATCCTCAGCACCACATACAAATAAATAAAACAAAGGTATTGTGTCCAACTGCAGCTTAAAAAAATATTTTAAAAAAAGAATGAGTCTACAACTTCAAATTCTTGCTCTTGCAGATGATTTCAAAATGGAAGTCCTAAAGGTTATAGCCATTGAGCTTTGACATTTATTGAAAATAGTAAATAGAGGCCAGTAGGTTTTTATGAATATTTCAATGACATAGCAGTTTGAGCTCATGTAAAATAGTGTATGGTAATTTCTCAATGGTTTAAAGTATATTTTCTAACAGTTTTTTGGGAGGGATAATACCCCTGCTTTCCAGTTAGAAATACTTAATACTTTCTAAAAGTATGGAAAAATTTTCCTATGATGTATTGCCAGACTTAGCCATGGTACTTTGCCCTTGCTCTGAATTCAACATTTTTCTCCTCCGGTCATTTGGCAGATAATCATTCATCACTCTGTAGCATATGTTTTATTCAGCTATTAAGCCAGTACTAATTTTTTGTATACTTGTGCTTCAACTTTGAAAAGTTAAAGCCCTTGAGAGTAAGCCTGACATACAGAAGATGCTCACTAAGTCCCAACTTATACCAATATCCTTAGCCCCTTTTCCTCCTCAACTAGCTGGTCCCCATGCCCTGGGATTCTGGGCAGAAATCAGCAAAGCACCAGAATAAGCCTCAGATGAACCAGTATATTTAGTGTTTGTACCACTGCTATATAAAAAAGAGTATTTCTCAATAAATAAATTCCCTGGCCTGAGGGTAGCATCTAAATGCTTTATTCTATATGCGGTGACTTATTCTGAAAAGTCTTTTTTTTTTTAAGATATTGTCTTGAAAGAGCATTGTTCCCAATTATTTTTGTTTAGCAATTTTCACTTATATGTTTTGGTAACAACTCTATTGAGATAATTCACCTACTGTACAATTCACGTCTATAATGTATACTATTCACTGATTTTTTTATATATTCAGAGTTGTACAAGCACCACAAATCAATTCTAGAACATTTTTGTCCATGAGGAAATAAAACAATATAGCTGTCAACTTCCAATTCTTCCCCTGACCCCCATCTGCTTTTTGTTGGTATAATTTTGGCTACATAAACAAGAATATGGTCTTTTGTGACTGATTACTTAGCATGACCTTTTCAAGGTTTTAGCTTTTTTTTTTTTTTGATACTGAGAAAAGTATATTACTTTGTGTATTATGACTCTGCAACAATTTTTCATGATCTTTTAAAGAAGTCTGCTAGGATTTTGCTCTTCTCAAGAAAGCCTGAATCAAGGGGCACTTAAAAGTGATGGATTGCATAAATACAATTTTAATATAACAGTATCTCTTATATATATTCTAAGCCAGTGGTCTTAAAATATTTTCACTTGTGTACCCCTTGAGTATTTTGAAAAGCTCTTTACCCTTTCACTTATGTGGATAAAATGAATAGGTAAAACAGTAACATTGGATATAACCTAATCAGACAGAGATATCATTGTCAAATTAGTCAATTTAAAAGTTTATCAGGGAAAACTGACTTCCCAGTTCAAAACATTGTATTTATATTTTTATCATTGCAAAGAACTGGTTCCTGTGAATCTTGTTTCAAAGATAATAAAAGGCACATTGCTTTCCCATAATGTTGTCTCTTAAAGGAAATAAGACTTTGTTCCCCTTCAGCATTTTGTAGCAAAGCTATTGTAGTTTAGACCTTGTGAGGGACCCTGGAGTTGGAAAGTGCCAAGAGTTTCTCTCCTTTGGCCTCGGGAAGATTGAGAAGGGTGAGAGCTATGCCTTTATTTTAGTTAAAGAAGAGAGACAGGGAACCGGAGAAGAATCAGGAGACTCTGGCAGGTAGGCTAGTATAGGAAAGGGTATGTGACCTGGCACACTGGAAAAATATCACCTTAAGACATTTGCACCTAACTCTATATGCTGCATTTATGTTCATTGTATTTGGTATGAAAATGGCATTCTGGAAATGATATAGAAATGGTAATATAGAAAAATGTTCTTAGGGGACACATGCCAAAGAATATAGAAGTGAAGCATCCCATCTACAACTTAGATATGCACACTATGCTGAGCCAGTTTGCAAAATATAGCTTATAAGGCCTGTACTGCCTACCCTCTAAACTGGGTCAGTGCCCTTCCAAACAGGAAAGCTGGTGTTTTTTTTTGTTGTCGTTGTTCAGTGGTGCTGGTGATTGATCCCAGGACCTTGTGCATGCTAGGCAAGCTCTCTACCACTGAGCTGCATCTCTAGTGAAAGACTGTTAAAAATTATTTTAAAATCCAAGTATTAGAATCAAAAGGAGAAGGTATGAAACCATGACACTTTTCTTATTAACAGTTCATTCATGGAGGACACACTGCCAAGATTTCGGACTTCAGTTGGAACCCCAATGAGCCTTGGGTCATTTGCTCAGTGTCTGAGGATAATATCATGCAGATATGGCAAATGGTAAGCTGAAATGTTTATTTTCCCTAGTGATGCAATGTAATAGAAACACTTCATATATTTAGGTGCATATTGTACCTAAATATGTACTCATAGGAAGGAAACAGTTTGAAGAACTTTTTCTGCTTTAACAGTGATCTTGGTTCCATAGTGGTACTTTTGTCTGCTACACCTGTCAGGTCAGGAGAAATCTCTGCATGTCTGTATAAGATGCAGATGCAGACACACAAAGCATCTGTTGCTTTGCATTGTTGCTGTATTCTTTGTGCACTGGGGTCTTGGCATTGGCCTCACTGCTATCTGCAGTGTCTGTGTGTCATGGGCATGAAGGATATCAGAGAGAAATGTTGAAATGTTCAAATGATACCAAACTCTATGATGAGGAGTATTAAATATTTGCCATTTCTAAGATGCTGAGTTGTTAATCGAGCCTTTCATAAAAACATCAGGGTCATCACTCTTTAAGTGATACTTAAAAGTGCTTTCAGAAAATACCTTTCATGAACAATGATTAAATAATTCCTTGAGTGGCTAGTTGTGTTTTTGGAATTACCTACTGGTAATTATTCCTTATCAGTCTTTGGAAAACGCAAAAATGGAACTAATCAACAAATTACCATAAAAAATGTCCTGTAATTTCCAACACTAAAACACATTGACAATAAATCCTAAAATTAGGATTGACGGATTAAATTCTATTTTTAGATGATTTTGTGAAACCCTTGGGGAGTTTTACCTGTGAATTTATTTGATTGTTATCCCCAGGCTGAAAATATTTACAATGATGAAGAGTCAGATGTCACAACATCGGAACTGGAGGGACAAGGATCTTAAACCCAAAGTATGAGAAATGTTTCTGTTGAATGTAATGCTACATGAATGCTTGATTTATCAAGCGCCAAAAAGGCATTGTATAGTAGGAAATGTTAAGTGGATGGCTTATGGCGTTCTTTACCTTCTGATTCTGATTCTAGCACTTTCAAGTGAGCTGTTGCGTACTGTATCATATTGTAGCTGTTAGGGAAGAAAAGAATGTTGCTTAAGAAAGAATATCACCATTGTTTTAAAATACAAGTAGCAGGGTACTGCCTTTGATTCAACTGTTTTAAGTCCTCATTTTCTCAAACTAAGTGCTTGCTGTTCCTGAATATGCAAGGATAACTTTTACACTTTTTCCTTCCAACACTTCTTGATTGGCTTTGCAGAAATAAAGTTTTAAAATAAAAATTGTGTCATTCTTTTAGAAGCTTGAGAGTGGGTTCATATGTATGTACATATCCCCTTCTTGAGTAGAAATGGGTAAGGTTGTATCTTTGGGATGTTCTTTAGAATGAAGGCCATTTGGGTAACAGAATACACAGAAGCTGTTAAATTTATCATACATATTTACTTAATCTATACAGAATCGAGTAGATAAAATCAGATTCACATTAGTGAAAAATCTCTACAAAATGTCTTTGAAAAGCAAAACAAGACTGCCTCTTAACAATTCGTATCCTCATGAAAGACGTGGGCTGTAAAAATAAAGCAGTGTGTTTAGCACAAACTAGAAGATATCTGCATCATTTTTTCACAGTTATTTCCATCTACAGTCTGAAAGAGGTAGATTTTTCTGCAACACCTGAGAATTGAATTGTGATAACCAGGTGTAATAAAGGCAGTTGCATACATAACTAAAATACTGGTCTCAAGACCAAGAAATGTATTCCTACAAGTCTGAGGATGAAATGGTCCATTATCCAAGACCCAAGTTTTCGCTACACCTTGGGGTCTACTGCCACTATAAATAATATACATCAAGATTCCATGATGGTGCAACAAATGCAATTTAAATGAATTCAACAGTTAAACCTTTTCCCGGCCAGCCTAGTAGCATTACAGTGTTCTAGAATATGATAGATACAGGGCGTGCTACAAAGCCACAACACTGGGCTGGTGAGGTGATCACTTTAGGGGAGGGTGTCCTTAGAGGGCCCCATTTGTTTTTATTCACAGGGTAATGGAAAGATTCTGAATGCATCCCAGACAGAATCCAAATCCTTTAAACATAATGATAGCATCTAGCTAAATACATGTAAGCCAAAAGCAGCAGGCCAAGTACTGTTAATCACATTGCTTTATGAAGCCCTTGAAGATATGCAACAGGTCCAAGATTTACAGTCTTCCACACAGGACAAGCACCACAAAGAAACGTGGTGGGTTACACACATGGCTTGGTAAAATGTTAAGAGCTGTACATCCAGCGGAGTTCTTGTGAAATGTGATTGTTAGTACTAATTTTAAGATAGATTATATTTCTGATATATGTCTTCATTTCCCCTGGGGGTAGGGGAATGAGTCCAGTATTTCACTTAGTAGCTGAAGGGGGTATTTATAAAAGGCTGTTGTAGGGTGTTATTTGTACTTCAAACTCATTTTGACCAGAGTAATTATAGATAACCTACTTGGTGGGTTTCTTCTACTATATGGCCCCTTGATTAGCATAATTGATGGTAGAAGCTTATATGTAATTCTCTACTCCAGGCACCGTTTCGTATCTGTTGAACAATTTCAATTCTTTCAACCCAGTTTAGACCACGAATGTGACAGGACTTTACAAGTAAAACTTTTAACAAAGAGAAAACCCTTTTAACTGGACAAAACGGAGTTTATTCAGTCCAGTAAGCAATTTAACAAGTGTCAGTTTGATAGTTTCACTCAGTGGAATGTGCTAACAGCAGTTCTAGTAGAACCTTTTTATTTCATAAAGTATTTCAATGCAAATTACACCAGTCAAGACTTGCTTCAGTGCAGCCTGATTAGTCATTTGCATAACTGAACCACATTCAACATTGAAGAAAACAAAAGGAAGTTAAAGAACTAAAGCAAAAGTTATGTGCTTAATTTCAAAATTTCCCCCATTCCAAGTGTAGATATTTTAATACTGTGTTTTTTTCTTTGGGAAAAAAATGACAGTAACAAAGAAAGGAACAAGAAATGAGGGGAAGCATAAGTTACAGTCCTGACTATGTAACACTCTGCCAAGTTTTCCCAAGGTAAAAATGCTGGTTCCAGTGTTTGTTTTAGAAATAGAAATGGTGTTAGTTACTGCTATCCATTGTTTAAATTGTCTTTTAAGAAGACCTAGATAGAGTACCTTGCTGGTGGGACTCCTATAAAACTGAACACCAACTTTCACATAGCCAGAAGGTAGTGAATGAACTTTTGCGTAGTGAAAAGACCACGTTAATTTACCCTCCTTGTCTTAGATCAATAAGGGCCTGTAAACGTGACCAGCAGTTTTCAAATAATTGGCTTCCTGAAGAAGTGGAGAATATGTACCTAAATCCCAAATCGAATATAAACCACCATGCTCTATAGTGAGCACCAAGTGGTTCAAATTCCACATGTGGGTTCTACCCTGAAATCAAAGCAGTATGACTTTAGTCACGTATACATTAAACCTGTTTGTCCGATGCTTTGCCTACATATTCTACTTTGTTCACAAATGACATCTCTATGTACATATTCTGCCAAAACCTAGAAGTAAAGGCTCATGGCCATCTCAGTTTGTCAAATGATATAAATATTATCAAAAAGCTAATCTCAATCAAATATGCTATGCTTATTTCTGACCCAACACTAGTGATTTATTTTTTCACTTGGCATTTAAATGGGCTATTAGACAAAACTAATCATCTTGATATTTTTTAGTAGCATTAATGGGAGCCAAGATGTTTAAATGAATATTGTCTTCACATCAAGGAACCATTATCCAAATGGAGTTCCTTTGTAATGGTTGGCCCCGTCTTGAGTGAAATTTTAATTAGAAAAATTATGTGCAAGAAGCAGGGAAGAGAAAGGACAAGGCAATGAACACATGCATTCCAATGAAGGGGGAAAATGAGGCAGATGTGCAACACAGCTGAGGGAAATTTATAGAATAAAACTATTCAAAACTGCTAAGCAGCTCCTGTACCACATAAGTCCAGTAGTTCTAAGAAAATACAGATATGGTAGAAAAAGTAAGAAAATTTTCACCACAAAACCAATAGTTACTACTAACAGAGAAAGTTATACACAAAATATATCTCTCAATACAGTAATCACACTTCACTTTAGTCAACTGACTCAATGCCTGGAGCAGAGCCTGGGGAAGAGAGCTTTTGTGTGGCGCTTCTCTCACTTGCCGCCTTGGCCTCCACTTCCAGGCGCACTCTTGAGGAAGTGTTTGGCTCCTGGTGAGAATCGAGGGTGGTACAAGGCTGCAGCACAGGTGGTACCAAGTCCCCGTCTGCAGCTCTGACAGAGACCTGCTCTTTCAGGACTTCCACCTTCTCATTAAGCTCATTCCTTTCTGTCTGAAGAGCCCTACACAGCTTCTCTAAGCGTTCCAGTTTTATTTGAAAGGCCTTGTACTCTTTATCACGGACAGTTTTCTGTAAGGAAAAAAACAAATGAGAGTTCCATAACCTCATTAAATACAAATTAGGATATTGTACACACACACCAAAAATGAACCGAGCCACACTGGAAACTGCCTATTTTATCACCTATTAAACATGTTCACTTTCTTCAGGTACTTGCTGACATTCTAGCTGCTAACTTCACTGAATACATATCTAAGTATATGAATTATATTTAGCAATACTGTTTTAAAATCTCCTTTCTAAAACATTGATGAACTGTTAAAGAAATTTATGATTTTCTTCACAAAGACTAGCAGAAAACTTGGGAGTCTAAGAACAGGAAATGCCTCAAGACTTGTATTCACGTGCCAACATTCTATTTCCTCAGTCTCACTGAGCTATCTTGGCCAACTCAAGATTCAATTTCTTGTGAAATATTTTAAACTAGTCAAGTTTCTAAAATGTGAAACAGTGATTGCAAGCTATACGTTACCTTACAAAACTGGAAAAAAGTATTTTGTTACTTTTCTGAAAAGACTATATCAAGGCAGAAAGAGGCAGTTGGTGTTTTGCTTGCAGGCTCTCTACTGCTGTTTCCCAAAGTGTAGGGTCCAGTCCCTAGACTGGCATCAGCATTACCTAGATGCCTGTTAGAAAAACAGGTGTCCTGACCCACCAGAGACCTAGTGGGACAGGACCTCTGGCTGGGGCCTAGCCATCTTGATTTTATAACAGGAGTTTGTACAGGCTCAAGTTTAAGAAATCACTGCTGTAGAAGAAAGCAAAAATCTAGATGCTTTGCAGCTATCTCTAACACAAGCCTTGGTGAATTAAATGCTGGTAAGAAGCTCAATCTCTCACTCAGGGCCCCATGTTTGTCCACCACTGTCAAGAAAGACAGTCTACTCAGCAAGGGTTCCAATATACGTCCCTTACCCTGATAGTCATTAAGTTCAGTTATCTAAGAATACACCTTAGTCACCAGATGTTGTGGTGCACACCTGTAATCCCATGGGCTTGGGAGGCTGAGACAGAAGGATTGCGAGTTCAAAGCCAGCCTCAGCAACTTAATGAGGCCCTAAGAAACTCAGAGAGACCCTCTCTTCTAAATAAAATATAAAAAAGGGCTGGGGATGTGGCTCAGTGGTTAAGCACCAATGGATTCAATCATCCCCAGTACCAAAAAAAAAAAAAAAAAAAACACAAAATAACACCTTAGTCATAGGAAACCACCTCACCTCTTCAGCCATTTGCAGAAGTGCTTTATTATTGTTTTCCCATTTGGTACGCCATATTATTGTTTCTTTTTCCAGTTTTTTAATTTTCTTTGTCATCTGTGAATCAACACAATTGCAAATTTAAATTCTAAATTCCATTTCTTATCTTTACTCCTTGTCATACAAGAAATGTTTTAATACTGCTCCCTCCCCCATCTCTGCATCTGCCTCGCCCAGCAGACAGCTGTGTGTGCCTTTATAGAAATAGCTGTCAGTAGCGGAGCTGACCTCAGAAGCTCCTAGGATGGAAAAAAAGTGGGGGTTTCATATGAGAAAAACAAACTTAATCTCCTAAATTTCAGAGGCAACAGGAAACTGAGGAAGTTGTTGAGCACCATGCTTTGAACTCTCAGTTCAGTACAACTTCCAATCCACCTCAGGAGAGCAAGAGACATGATTTCTTTTTCCCCAAGATATATTTGTGTGTGGTGGGGGAGTCCATGTTTGTGGGTTTCCTACCTTTAAATCAATTTCTCAGATTTTTGGAAGGACATAGATTTTTCAGCCCCACAAGAGGTTTAAGTATTGGTGCTCTGCTACAATATACAACATCACATCACTTTAGAACTATACCCAGCACAATTTAGGTAAGATTCCAGCAAAAACCAAAGTAATTCATCCTCACATCTCACAAGACTGTTTTACCTCAGATAAAGATAAATTGGGTCCAAAAATTAGAGGAATATTCTTAAACCTCTGCTACAAGAACTTGATATTCAGAAATAGAGAATGAAAATCTTCTCCTGTTAATCATCCACATTCTCAATATTCCTTTACCTACTACTGACTGCACACCAGCTCCAATCCAAGTAAGGGCACTAAGCCAGGTGTTGTTAAGGGAAACAAGGGTAAGACAGAGCCAGTGTGCTATGCCTTAGGTCATGACCCACAAAACAGTAACACAAGGCAAACTGGGACAAAGGCCATGGAAAGAGCTCATGGAAGATCTGGGTTAAGCACTGACTCAGGATTCCCTATAGCCACTAACATTGCCAGAGTATTCTCCAGAAGGATAGCAAATTTGGGGAGTCTCTATCTTGAACTCTGTTCCACCTCAAGAGTAAACACGTGTTACAGCCCAAAAAATACTTTCACTTTGCCTGACAGGTCTGCCTCAATTAGAGCATCAACTGAAAGGACTGGCAGGCAGAACTCATGTGCTCATGGAATTCTCCAGATTGCTAGGTCTAAAAATATCTCAAGATGGTAATGTGAACACCGTTAAGCTCAGGGTTACTAAGCACATGTTAATGCCAAACACTGTCTGAGATATTCTATTTTATGAAGGACAGTATTATTTTTTAACCATTTTTTAAAAGTGAAAGAATAGAAAGGCAAAGGGTCAACTTGTCCACAGTTACACATTACATGATGCAACAGGAACACTAAGCCAGAGCACACCCACTCAACCCCGATATAAGATCCAATAATCCTCATGACTGGCATCTGTTGAATGCTTACAAAGTGCTGTGTATCTTCTAAATATTTTTTTAAATCCCCCAATGTAGGAGTTGGAGATGTAACTCAGTGGTAGAGCACTTGCATAGCATTTGCGAGACCCGGGGTTCAAACCACAGCATCACAAAAATTTAAAAAATTAAAACCCCCCAAACTTAGCCAAGTATGGTAGTGTGCACTGGCAGCACCAGCTACCCAGAAGGTGGAGGCAGCAGGACTGTTTTGAGTTCAGGAATTCAAAGCTAGCCTGGGCTACATGGCAAACCATACCTTAAAAAAGAAAAATAACAAAAAACCCTCCCAATTTAAGAGAAACTTGCCAAAATGAGGATGTAGAGATATATATGGACATAGTTATTTAAATATACTAATCCTTAGCTTGATATCAAGGGTCTCTCTTTCCTTAATGCAGGCAGGACAATGCAATAGAAGCTAAAGAATTTGTTTGATCAGAGAAAGAATTAAAGTTAAGACAAAAAGAGAAGCTTAAAATAGAAAGAGGTGAGAGAGAGAGAGAATTCTCAACAAACCAAAATACATAATTTCTTTTCTAGGGACAGATGTCTAATTTCTAAGGACAGAACTTTCCGCAAGGACCTGGGAGCAATCCTCTCAAGTGGTAAAAACAAAGATCCCCCCTTATTTCTAATGACAAATTAGCTTCTTGGAGTACCACTCACTGAGTGCAAAATGACCAAATATGCCACTGGAATATCAGGAAAGATAAAATAAAATGAAAGGGTACCGCCAGGCATGGTGGCACACACCTGTAATGCCACCAGCTTGGGAGGCTCAGACAGGAAGATTGCGAGTTCAAAGCCAGCCTCAGCAATTTGGGGAGGCCCAAAGCAACTCAGTGAGACCCTGTCTCTAAATAAAATACAAAATAGGGCTGGGGTTGTGGCTTAATGGTTGAGTGTGCCCGAGTTCAATCCCCAGTACCACCCCCTCCCGCCAAAGGAGAGTACCATAATAACACAAACCCACCCAAGTAGTAGTACTCATGCTTCAAAGAGCTCATATAAATTCCATTTGATGTAACAGTCTACTAAAAATATACAAATACCTTTTCCATTTCCTGTCTGAAGGTTGTAAACAGTTCATTGCTTTTTGCCATAGTAGTCTGGAATTCTTCAAACTTATCCATATAAAGAGAAAGCTACAGGAAAATAAAATAAAATCAGGTAAATATGGTCTTACGTAAAAAATACAAATCCTCAAACTTCTAAAACTATGTGGTTAAATGTCAAGTTACTTGTTACATGTGAACAAATGCACAGCCAATCCTTAGGTACTAGATATAGATATAGATATAGACAGCTAAAGCTCTAACAACTCTCATAAATGCATTAAAACTCAAGAAATTGTGTTGACATTATTATAATTTGTTTAAAATACAGAAACATTTACTACCTTCATCCCATCAATAATAAAACCAAAAGAATGTCATATAGCTATAAATTTCATACACCTGTAATGCTTTATGAATCCTCCTCTCCTGACATTTGAAAACTGTTTTTGAGAAAAGAGTGTTCTCTTAGAATACCACCTGCATAGTTTGTAGCTTGCTCTCAAGGATCTCTCTTTCCTGAATGCATGCAGGAAAATGCAACAGAAGTCCAAGAATTGGTTTGGTTGGAGTACAGTTAAGAGAAAAAGAAACCCAAGATTGAAACACCAATTTTTTTCTTTAACTCCTACCTTCAAAGAATTTGTATTCAAGCTGAGAAAAAGCAAGGAAGCAGAATATAAAATGCAGTCACCTTTTTCTCCCCCTAGAATAAGCATTCAGAGCTACGGGAAACAAAGGCACACAGCATAGGTCAGAAAGAGAAGGAAAATCTCATGTGGAAGAGGCCTGGGCGAGGCCTCAAGGGTGCACTGAAGGACTTACTATAGACCAGGAGAGAACTCAAGACTGTCTAATGTCAATGCATCATTTTCAGGATGAGGAAACAGACCCAGAGGAATAGTGTTTTAATGAAGATCACAAAATACACATAAGCAGAGAAATCAAAAAAAATCAGAGGCCAAGAAATCTCATAAGCAGCACTGTATTAGGAATACTAAAGAGCACCAACTCACAGGATGTGGGGGGCAGGCAGTAGAATATGATGGAACCCAGCCCACCCACAGTTGCCGCACGGGAAGCACTTGGAAACAGGAGCTGCTGGATGTGGGAGGCAGAAGCAGACTTTGAAAACTTGGTTCTAGTACGGCTAAAGCTCCAAGAGGAAGACAAGCAAACCAGGCAGGCCTGTAAAAAGGCAAGTCCCTGGGCCAGGAGAGGAAGGAATGGAATGCAGAGCAGAGGTAAAAGAAGCAAACACCGAGACCTGGAGTCACAAATAACAGTGGTGCTCTTGCTAAGGAGCAGTACTGGCCTTGAAGGAGATTCAAAGCAGTATGGCCCATGATTTAAAGTGGAACATCCAGGTAATGGCTGTTCCAACTTAGAGTGCAATGCTGGCCCACAGTGAACAGTGAATAAAGGGCAACTATCGTCATACCTGGGCTTACATGGCTAGATTCCAAAACAGTGGGCCAAAGCACAGCAACAAGACTGAGTGTCTTCAGCAAATGTCATGAGATGACATGGTAAGAACAGAAAAGACAGACTTGGGAAGGACAGTTATATTTAAGTAGCAAAAAGAAAAATGAAAAAGAAGGATGGCAAAAGAAAATAACAATTGGGAAAGAGTGCTGAGGGCCATTACCAAGTAGGAATGACGCATCGAAATTTCCTTGCCAAGCGTACCCCATGCTGCTTAGAGGACATTTGATGGAACATTGCATGCATGCTTTAATAAGGTGACCTTACTCAAGGACCAAGGTGGATTCGGGTTTAGAGCTGATCAGGTTTGAGGAAGTAACCGGCTCCTTGAGTTTAAGGCGTTGCCAGTTTAAGATAATGGGTTTTAGGGAAGTTGGAAGTTGAAGATTATTGCTGGGATTAGGGTGTTCCTGCTGCTTGTGGAGGCGGTGTGAGAGCGGGAATAAAGAATTGCTGTTTGAACCTACAAAGCTGTGAGTGCCTCGTGATTCTGGTGCCTCCACACAGGTCCAGGGGCAATCGCGTTCTTCTGTCTCCCGCACAAACCACCTACTCCACGAGGCTCTCTCCCAATCCCATTTTAATCTCACGAGAACTCAATGGGAACAAGCAGCAGGAACACCCTAATCCTAGCAATAATCTTCAACTTCCAACTTCCCTAAAACCCATTATCTTAAACTGGCAACGCCTTAAACTCAAGGAGCCGGTTACTTCCTCAAACCTGATCAGCTCTAAACCCGGATCCGCCTTGGTCCTTGAGTAAGGTCACCTTATTAAAGCATGCATGCAATGTTCCATCAAATGTCCTCTAAGCAGCATGGGGTACGCTTGGCAAGGAAATTTCGATGCGTCATTCCTACTTGGTAATGGCCCTCAGCAAAAGAGGACTTCGAAGCACAGATCACAGACAACAGAGGCTATACTGGTGACTATAAAAGAATCAGAGCTGGCCTATGGCCTTAGTGAAGGGGCCCTCGGGTGACTCATTATCTGTGACTCCTAAATTCAAGAACATCTTCGGAGGCCATACCTTTTCTCTATGTTACTTCTTGGCTCAATTTACACAGACAACTAAAAGGATAGGGTTGGTAAATAAGGGGTTCCAATCTCCTGGCAGCATTCTGGCATGATCGTAACTGAGAACGAAATGTTCTAAAGACTTGTATCTGACAACTCTTGAATTTTTACTCTTAAAATATGTTAGCTTGCCGGGCACAGTGGCACACACCTGTAATCCCAGCAGCTTGGGAGGCTTAGACAGGAGGATCATGAGTTCCAAACCAGCCTCAGCATGGCAAGACACTAAGCAATTCAGACCCTATCTCTAAATAAAATACAAAATAGGGTTGGGGATGTGGCTCACTGGTTGAGTGCCTCTGGGCTCAATCCCTGGTACCCCTCCCCAAAAAGTGTTAGCTTGCTAGGTGCAGTGGCCCATATCTATAAACCTAGTGACTCAGGAAGCTGAACAGGAGGATCACCAAGTTTGAGGCTAACCTCATCAACTTTTAGTGGGACCCTAAGCAGCTTGATGAGACCATGCTTCAAAATGAAAAAAAGGTCTAGGGATATAACTCAGTGGTTAAGCACCCCTGCATTCAATCCATGGCACTCCCCCCAAAAAATTTAGAGGAAGTTAATGCCACCAACATTATAAAATGTTCCCAAAGAAAAATACCACCTAAAAGAGATGGTCATGGACTTATCCCAGTTTTAATGATCAGTGTATTTTAGTACTAGAGTGTTACATCCAAGAAATCTATATAATAAACAATACTTTTTTCAACAGAATATAATCCAATTAACAGAAAAGGGGTGAATTATAGATATACCTAATTTCAACTGTCTATGAAGACACAGAAAGCCTTCCTTATTCCTCTTCTTGGGGTAAGGAGATGGCATCTGCTACTCTGATGCCACAAAACAACCCCATAGAGTTTATAATAGAACACATTTACAGGGTCTGGACTGAAAAAGGAAGAAGGGCCCTGATTAAAACCACCACTTTAAGACTACCTGTGAGGGAACTATGTGGTTAGAAATGGTTTGTAAAACAGCATACATGCTCTCTGCACAAAAAGATTAAAGTCTATGAAATTGACATTTTATAATTCAACTTGGTACAAAAAAAGTAAAATATGGAAATTTATCAATATTTCTTTAGTGGGAAATTAGAAGGACACACATGGGAGCAGACTGAGAAAGGGAGACAAGTATCTGGAATCTTGGAAAGGGGACATAAGATAGGGTAGCCAGCCATACCAGTTGACCTGAGATAGTGGGTATAGGTCAGGAGGTAATGGGACATGGGTTTTCAGGACTAAAACCAGGCAAGTCCTTAGTACTAGAGATGATCCTGGTAACCCTAAGTGAGGAGGAAAGTTTCAAGGACATGTGACCTCTTCCTCAGTTTTGGTAGCTCTGGCTAGTAACAAGCAAATGATCTTAGAGGAGATTCAAGGTATGTATGAAACAAACCACAGATTTTTCTTAGAAATCCTATCCCCTGCTGTCAAGTTACCTGCTGTTTCAGTTGTACTTCTTGCTGTTTCATTTGTTCGTATTTGTGCCTCGATTCTGTTGCTTCTTTTAATAACTAGAAAACAAAAACATTCTGGCAAAACACTAATAGTAACTACAAATATAATTACAAATGACTATACTGGTCAGGCAGGTCTCATCCTAGTTCTCACATATTAGTACAAACCAATAAGGAACATTTTGTTCAATCAGTTGCCACTTACCTATATCTTCCATTTATTCCACTTGTTAGCTTTTACTGTATGAGTAGAAAAAGTACCTCAAGCCAGGCATGGTGGCACATGCCTATAATCCCATGAGGTAAGAGGATCACAAGTTCAAAGCCAGTCTTAGCAACAGCAAGGCGCTGAACTACTCAGTGAGCCCTATCTCTAAATAAAACACAAAATAGAGCTGGGGCTGTGCCTCAGTAGCCAAGTGCCCCTGAGTTCAATCCCCAGTACCAAAAAAAAAAAAAAAAAAGAAGAAGAAGAAGAAGAAGAAGAAGAAAGAAAAAGTACCCTGGAGGCCTGAAAAGATTTACAAAACTCCAGGTTAAACTTTGTTTTAGGGGCTGGGGCTCAGTGGTGGAGCACTTGCCTAGCATGTAATAGAGACTGGGTTCGATCCTCAGCACCACATAAAAAATAAATAAAAATAAAGATACTATGTCCATCTACAACTAAAAAAATATTTATAAAAAAACCCTTTTGTTTTAGGTGAAAATAATTACATCTAATATTAGCAGAAAACACAACTAGGAGTTCTCAACATTATTCTCAAGATTAAGAAAGCCCATCTAATTCCAAGAGGACAGATGAGAATTGATAAAAGAGTGTAGAGTACAACAAAGAAATCTGAGACCTGGTTTTTAAGCATATTTTTAATATACAGGGGAGAAAAGAACAGGACCTTTAATTTCTATACTTGAGATTTTAAGACAATTATATAGTGCTCAGTGTAAAATTCAGTGAAGTAAAATGTCAAAGTAAAATGTCAAAGAAGCCTTGAAAAGTCCTATTGAATCAACCAGACAGCACATACTTATAATATGTGTAAAATTTTACACTCCAACTTTGGAAACAATAAACATTTCTTAAACATAGCATTGGCTATACTAATGTCAATTAACGTGGAAAAACCAAGCCATGTTAAAAATGTGTCTGTGAACCCTAGACTTGTGCTCAGCATTCCGTACTAATGTCATGAGGGCCACTAGAGAAAGGTCTTTATAACACACTTACCTTTGGAGCCTGGGCTATTTGAGTGAATGCTGAATGCCCAGTCCACATTTATTACATTTTTGTATAAGCACATTTTGTTGAATTTGCATATGAGCAATACATACCCAATGAAATGCCACCATACTCAATATAAGTATTGACAGGCTACAATAATGTGAGCATACACTCAGAATAATGCCAAGTCTATACTACTAAAATCTTATTTTAAAATTTCGGATGAGTAAGTAAACAAATGGTTTCTCTAGATTCAAACTGCTTATTTAAAAACAAAATGTGACTGTAGACAGAAGACCTGTTTGATTTCAATAAAATTACAAATTATCATGTGTTAAACATTACCACAATTCTTAAACCTGATAAGAAATGAAATAAAGGGGCTGGGGATGTGGCTCAGGTGGTAATGTGCTCATCTGGCATGTGTGAGGCCCTGGGTTCGATCCTCAGCACCACATAAAAATAAAAATAAAGATATTGTGTCCACCTACAACTAAAAATTTTTTTTAATTTAAAAAAGGAAATGAAATAAATATTTTAAGTACAGAAAAATCAAACAAGTACAGGTCTTTCCAATAACTTGGTCTGATCTCTCTAGTATGTTTGTGGTATAAAAAGTGAAAAAGAAAGCAGGTGCAGTGGCCAATGCTTGTAATCCCACCTACTCAGAAGGTTGAGGCAAGAGAATCACAAGTTGGAGGCCAACCTCAGCAACTTAGTGAGATCTTTGCTCAAAATAAAAAATAAAAAGGGCTGGAGATGTGGCTCAATGGTACAGCTCTTGCCTAGCATGTGTGAAGCTCTGGGTTAGAACCACAGTAACCACAAACACACACACACACACACACACACACACACACACACAAAGAAAATTTCTAGAAGAAAAAAAAACAACTAGCATGGCCCAAGTACAACATTAAATGCATTGTTAAGTATAAATGTTTTAAATGGCTTTGGTTACAATTTTGGCAATGAGTTTTTTTAAGAAACAGAACTTACAAACTCTCTCTCTCTCTGATGCTTTTCATCAGCTTCTTTTATCAGCTGTGTTGTTTGCTGCAGTTTGGCGTCCACAAGCTGTTGTTGCAGTTCCTTATGTTTGAATACTTTATCAATATGCTACAGGAAAAGTAAAATTCCTTCTATCACTTCATGAAGAAATGAACACAATGAGGAGGACCTGTACCACCAGTTACAACACCCTGCTGTCTTCCTCATATGACCATAGAGGACTTTCAGTCCCTGTGCTTGAAGAAGCACTGCTCAACATACCTTGCAAATGGTCCCTCACCTACAGAAGCGCTGCCCCGTAGCCAGCCCTGTGGGACCTGGGCCATCCCCATCACCACCTTTGTACTTCCTGTTCTGCCCAACCCTGAAAATAAAACTTGGACTGCATCAAGACAAAGACAGATAAGGAGATCAAACTACTAAATCTATACATCATGCACATAATTCCTTTTTTATATCCATTAAGTTTTTCCAGATTTCTCAGATGGAGGCAGCATGTATGGTCAAGGTCAAAGTCTGGGTGATGTGTGGCCCTGGGCAAATTCCTGTTCCTCTGAATTTACCCACATCTGAGCTTCAAGATTACCATGATCATCTTGCACACCTGTGACAGTAACTGTAATGGTCAAATCATATAACACGTTGGTGCCCAAAACATATTAGACATTTGGTTCAAGCTCATTAGCATTTCCAAACAGAACTGTCACTTAATATCATTTATCTACAACAAAGTCATCAAAAATAGTACTCTTTCAGTTGTAATACTCTATGCGAAATACTAGTTGGTAGTAAGGCAGCCTAAGTAATAAGAGCACAGAAGATGATTTATCATCACCTACAAATGATTTAATCACTATTAATTATATCCCGAGCAAAGGAAGCATCTGATAATATTCAAAATAAATAAGACATAAAATACAATTTAAACATGTGATTTTAAAATTTTCTACAAGACTATCATATTAAACAACAAAAAATTCATTTAAAATATATCATGGCATTCAGCAAGAGAAAATTTAACCTCTCAGACAAAAAAAAAACTATCTTCAATAAACACAATACATAAATAAAAAAGATATTTTAGAAACTTGAGAAATATGAGCCAGTGAAATAGATGGACATTATTTAGATCTTGATTCAAATAATTTTGGGGGAATAATAAAAAAATAAGCAGAAAACTCTGAACAGTGACTAAATATATCATATTAAATGACTGATAATTTTTTAGTTGTGAAAATAATATTGTGGCCAGGCGTGGTGGTACATGCCTATAATCCCAGTGGCTCAGGAGGCTGAGGCAGGAGGATCGTGAGTTCAAAGTCAGCCTCAGCAATGGCAAGGTACTCGGCAACTCAGCGAGACTCTATCTCTAAATAAAATACAAAATAGGGCTGGGTATGTGGCTCAATGGTGCCCCTGAGTTCAATCCCTGGTACCAAAATAAAACAAAACAATATTGTGGTTATGCTTAAAAAGAATCCTAAGGTTGAGGATGTAGCTGAGTGGCAGAGTGCCTGCTCAGCATCAAAAGACCCTCCCTGGGGCTGATCCCTAGTAGTCACACACACAAAATGAGCTACAAATAATGGTAAGACAACTTAGATTTGCTTCAGAACAACATAGGAGAGTAGTTCCATATGCTCAAGCCAGGTAATATATTCTGTCTTTTAAAGTTTTCAATTTTTCATAAGAGTATTTTTTTAAAAAAGTAAAATTTGGTGAGAATGATCAAAATGAAAATCTTTTTGTCAGATGTGGTAGTGCCTGTGGTAGTAATCCCAGATATGAGGGAGGATGAGGCAGGAAGATCACATGTTAAACACTAGCCTGGTCAAATAAGTGAGGCCCTGTCAAAAATAAAATGAGGGCCTGGGATTGTAGCTCAGTGGTAGAGTGCTTGTCGGGCACTGGGTTCAAATCTCAGCACCACATATAAATAAATAAATAAATATCCATCAACAGTTAAAAATATATGTTTTTAAAAAATGAGATGAGGACATAGCTCAAGTGTCAGAGTGCTTGCTTAGCATGTGCAAAGCCCTGGGTTCAATCCCTAATATGGCAAAACAATGAAAAGAATAATAAAATCTTTTAACAAAACTAACAAGTTTTTGTGAGATTTTTTGTTTTGTTTCATTTGGTACTGGGATTTGAACTCAGGGGTACTTTACTTCTAAGCTACATCCCTAGCCCTATTTGTTTTATTTTAGATAAAGTAGCCAAGGCTGGCCTTGAACTTGTGATCCTTCTGCATTCTGAGTCGCTGGGATAACAGGTGTGTGGCACCATGTCCAATTCCACAACTAACAGTTTTTGAAAGGCTGAAGTAAAACTATAAATTAATATGAAATGTAGTTCAATACTGGAAAAAGTGACAGAGATAACACAATCTTTATTTTTTCAATCTGAATCAGCTATTTGAATTTATTTGTGTAAAGGATATAACATATAAAGGCACATCATTTTACTAATTTTAAAAGCACAGAATGCACCATGAACTAATCTGGCTACCACCATGAACTTCTAGACTAACATAAAATGACTGCAGATGTCTGAAGTGGAAGTCAATGAGCAAGTTCTATAGCCTGGATCATTCCAGTAAACATTACTTCAATGAATGTATGTGTGAGGGCTTAGAAGTAGGTTCCCTTTTTCTCCCAAACAGTATAAAAACCCTCATTTAGGGGTTGGGGGTAGTGCTCTCGCCTACCATGTGTGAGGCACTAGGTTTGATCCTCAGCACCACATAAAAATAAATAAAGGTATATTGTGTCCAACTACTTACATATATAAAAACCCTCATTAAAAAAATCATGAGGCTGGAGATAGAGATCAATGGTAAAGCACCGGCTTAGCATGCACAAAGCCCTGGGTAGATCCCAGCACCAAAAATAAAAAAGTAAAATAAAAAAGGGCTTGGGGGATAACTTAGTAGAAGAGTACTTCCCTAGTATATGCAAGGACTTGGGTTCAATCTCAAAAAAAAAAAAAAAAAAAAACACAAAAAAAACCAACCTAGAACTTTTTTTAAAAATCTGAAACTGGACATGGTGGTGCAGGCCTGTAGTCCCTCCTAGTTGGGAGGCTAAGGCACGAGGATCACTTGAGCCTGGGAGTTCAAGATCAGCCAAGCCAACATAGCAAGATCATGACTTAAAAAATAAAAAATCTGAAACGTGGGGCTGGGATTGTGGCTCAGGGGTAGAGCGCTCACCTAGCATACATGAGGCACTGGGTTCAATTCTCAGCACCACATACAAATAAATAAATAAATAAATAAATAAATTTTTTGAACACATAGGACCAGGTACAGATAGTATACAGATTATCACAACTATCTGGGATACAGGCCATTTAGGGGACCAAATATTTATTCATTATTCATTTGGATAAGGAAAATCATCTTTATGTGAAAATTGCCATCTTTCAGTATTATGTGGAAGATAAATATTATTTAATGTTTCCTTAAAAAAAAAAAAAAGTCACCAAATCCAAGGGCTTCTGGGTATTGAGTAATCCCAATTAATCCTCCAGGCTGAATAATGCCTGATCTTTTACTAGTAAATAAATAACTTCCACTATAAGTCGTAAAACATTCTGTGATAGTAGTTTTGCTGCAGTTGTGAATGGTGATATTTGTGACAAGCTGTCTAAATAAACCAAGTGTGCCTTTTTACCTCTTCCCTCAATGCGTACTGCTCAATGAGCTTCTTCAGCTTCTCTCCCAGTTCGATGTTCTCCTGGCGGAGTTTGGCATTGTGTATGTCATGTTGTTCCAGCTGGGCCTGGATTTCATTTAAAGTAATCTGGAAATGTGCCGTTGCTTCTTTACGTCGTTCTTCTTCCTCTCGTGCCTGCTGCATATTTTCCTCCTTAGTATTCAAAATAATTTCTGTTAATAGACCTATAGATAAAATACTCACAAAAAGCTGCTGATGTGGCTTCATTTTTGCTTCTCTGAAATGTTGCTTCTGAGCTACAAGTCCACCCCCTTACTTATGACCAGAAGATTCTCATTTAAAAGCAAGATACACTGGGCACAGTGGAGCATGCCTGAAATCCCAGCAGCTTGAGAGGCTGAGGCAGGAGGATCACAAGTTTAAAACCAGCCTCAGCAACTTAGCAAAGCCCTAAAGCAACTTAGCGAGACCCTGTCTCTAAATAAAATGTAAAAAAGGGCTGGGGATGTGGCTCAGTGGTTAAGCACCCTGGGTTCTAAATTCCCCGTACCCCCCCCCCATAAAAAACAGGGCAAGATAATTTCACAAAGTAAATGGTAACATGAGATTCAGATCTGTCCTGTTATAAGTACAATATAACATCAAAAATCCACTGTGACAAAATATAAGAGAGGAGCTTCTCCTGCCTCACTGGGTATTTAGGGCATCATCTTACATCAACCTGGAGATAAGACCTCCTCTTGTAGCTTACTCACTGGGTCACACATTCTACTTCTGGAGGAGTTAAAAGGACAAATGGAATCCTTATTTTTAAAAGATTACTTATTGGTCTGGGGATGTGGCTTAAGCCTGGCATACGTGGGGTGCTGGGTTTGATCCTCAGCATCACATAAAAATAAAATAAAGATGTTGGGTCCACCAAAAACTAAAAAACAAATATTAAAAAACTCAAAAACAGATTACTTATTGGGCTGGAGATGGGGCTCAGTGGTAGAGTGTGCAGGGCCCTGGGTTCAATCTCAACCATCAGCAAAAAAAAAAAAAAAAAAAGTGAAGAGAAAGCCTAGAGAATGGAAAAAACATCTTTGCCAGGACTCTTCTAAAAGGATTAATATCCAGAACATATAAAGAACTCAAGTTGAGTGTGGTAGCTTAGGAGGCAAGAGGATCACAAGTTTGAGCCCACCATCAGCAACTAAGCAAGACCCTGTCTCAAAAAGGCGGGGGGTGGGGGTACATAGCTCAATGGTAAAAGCATCCCTGGATTCAATCCCCACTACTCCACCTACACAAAAGTTAAAGCAAATTAAAAAAAAGCCCAATCAATAAATGGGCAAATGAACCGAATCAACATTTCTCAAAAGAAATTCAAATGGCCAACAAATAAATGAAAAACGTTTGATCTCTTTAGGAATGAGGGAAATGCAAACAAAACTACACTAAGGTTTAATCTCACACCAGTAGAATGACAATCAACAAGAATACAAATAGTCGCCAGGTGCGGTGGTCTATACCTGTAATCCCAGCAGCTAGGGATGCTGAAGCAGGAGGATCGCAAGTTCACAGCCAGTTTCAGCAACTTAGCAAGGCCCTAAGCAACTTAGTGAGACCCTGTTCCAATGTAAAAATATAAAATATAAAAAGGGCTTAGGGTGTGGCTCAGTAGTTTAGTGCCCCTGGGTTCAATGTCTGGTACCTTCTCCCCAAAAATAATACAAATAAATGCTGGTGAAGATGCAAGGGAAAAGAACATTTATACACTGCTGGTGGATTATAAATTAGTATAATTTATAAATTAGTATAACCACTATGGACTATAACCAGTATGGATTGTTCCTCAAAATACTAGGCATGGTGTCATCATATGACCCAATTATACCACTCCTCAGTATTTACCCTAAATCTAAATTAAAGTAAGCATACTATAGCATTACATGCATCCTGTGTTTACAGCAGCACAATTTACAATAGCTAAATTATGGAACCAAACTAGGTGCCCATCAACAGAAGACTGAATAAAGAAAATGTAGTACATATACACAGCTATAAAGAATGAAATGATGTTATTTGCAGGAAAATGGATGAAAGCAGAGAATATTATGCTAAGTGAGATTAGCCAGACTCAGAAAGCCAAGAGTTATAACTTTGTGTGTGAAAGCTAGTGAGAAAAAAGAAAAGGGACCTCATCAAAACAGAAAAGAGACTAGTAGATGAGAAGAAGGGGATCTGGGGAAGGAGGAGGGGAGGGGAGAGGGGTAAGAAGGAATGAAATAGACCAAACTGTAAACTGTACATGTATAAACACATCACAATGAATCCTGTTATTATGTAAAACTATAATGAACATAAAAAATTAAAAATAAAGACTGCTTTAGAACTGGGGTTATGGTTCAGAGGTAGAGCGCTTGTCTATCATGCCCAAGGCCCTGGGTTCAATCTCTCACACTGCAAAAAATAAAATAAATAATAGCTTACTTTCAACTCTTGGTAGGATACAAGTATCAAAAGACCTTTACATGCCTAAACAGTTACCAAAATGCTTTTGTTCTTTTTGTACTGGAGACTAAACCCAGCGACCCTCTACCACTGAGCCACAGCCCCCATTTTAACTTTATTTTGAGACAAGGTCTTGCTAAGTTGCTGAGGCTGTCCCCAACTCACCATTCTCCTGCTTCAGCCTCCCAGGTCACTGAGATTACAAACACGCCTGTGCCCAGCTTCAAAATGATATGTTGTAGAGAAAAAGATACCATTTATCTTAATTAAGATCTAAATCCAAGGGTTTGAAAGCAAAGAAGAAATCAATGGCTCCCACATCAGAAGATCCTCTTTCTTTTTCTTTTTCTTTCTTTTTTTTTTTTTTTGGTACTGAGGATTGAACCCAGGGGCACTTAACCACTGAGCCACATCCCCAGCCCTTTTGTGTATTTTATTTAGAGACAGGGTCTCTTGAGTTGTTTAGGGCCTCGATAAGTTGCTGAGGCTGGCTTTGACCTTGGGATCCTCCTGCCTCAGCCTCCCAAACCACTGGAATTACAGGCGTGCACCAAGGCCCCCAGTGGAAAGTCCATTTTTTGTGTGCTCCTATGCCTAGGGCCTTGGGGAGCTGCTGCAGGAAGGGGTATTTGACTGACCTCACACATGGCATCAGTCCAAGCAAAGCAGAAGGAAGGTAGTATTTCTATCTCCAAGCAGAAACCTGGACTTATTTCAAATAGGTACAATGTGATTATAAAACCAGCAGAGTTAAGTCCCTCCTGAAAGACAGGAAAATGAACCAACTAACCTTTAAGGTCTTATTGTGACGCTGAAGTTCCCTGCAAAGAGACTCCAGTTTGCTTCTTGCCAAGATAGCTTTGCTGTGTTCACTCTGCAGGTGAACTTTCTCTTTCACGATCTGGGCTTGCTTCTTCTGCAGAATCTTCATTTGCTTCTGAACATTCCTGCTTTCCTCCAGCTAAAATTAACAAAGACTTGATGTTTAGGAAGTACAGCAAAAACCTTACCATTATGGCTTGGAGAATCATAGTGAGGGCTATGTACTCTTCAAAAAGCCACATACAGAGGGCTGGGGATGTAGCTCAGCTGTAGAGCACCTGCCCAACGTGTGAAGCCCTAGGTTAGATCCCCAGTAATCCCCCACCCCCAAATGTCACAAACTGTATCATATTTAAATTGTTTCATGCCACGCAACATTCCCAGCCTCATTTCTTTTCCAATTGCAATGGGAAAGTAAGCAAATTTAGATTGGTTAGAAAAAATGATCTTAAATCTTTTTTGGGGGTAAGGAGGGCATTAGATATACTTAATTTTTACAATGACATTTTATTATCCTATTCGGCTTTATTTTTTTTTTTAAAGGAAACTGAGGCAAAGCAGAGTAGACATTTATTTTTTATTTATTTATTTATTTCTTAGTTCTCGGTGGACACAACATCTTTGTTGGTATGTGGTGCTGAGGATCGAACCCGGGCCGCACGCATGCCAGACCAGCGCACTACCGCCTGAGCCACATTCTCAGCCCCCTATTCGGCTTTATTATCTAAGCTTTATAAAAGAATTACCTGAGCTGTCAGAGATATTAAATTGCCCCAAATTCCACCAGGCACAGTGGCACATACCTGTAATACCAGAAACTCTATAGAGGCTGAGGCAGGAGGATTGCAAGTCTTGTTTAAAAATTTTATTTCAGGGCAGGTAAGTTGGCCAGGCTGGCTTTGAACTTGCAATGTTTCTGCCTTAACCTCCTGAGTAGCCGGAATGACAGATGTGCAGTACCACACCATGTTATCTCTTTATTCTTTTATTTTTTTTAAAAAAAGCTGATGTTTTAGGAACCAACACTGAGTTATTCTTCTAAAAGAATACCCACAGACTATTGTACTGAAATGATCATCAGAATTTAGAACTCGATAAAAGTAGCACTCTATGAGCGAGAAGAATTGCTGCAATTTTAGGTTTGAGGCAAATGAATCTATTTCAAGGTTAAATCAACACTAGCAGATAAGATGGCAGCCTCACTGACCTTTCTGTACAGCTTTTACTGAAGAAGGAAATGATGCTGAGTCACAATTTCAAGGGCAAGAGTGCCATCTTGTGGTCTATCAAAACATCTAGCATCTTCACCAGCATTAAGCTTACGGATATTAAAAACAACTTTGCTGAAATTTCTGTCGGAAAATCACTGCTCTTGAATAATAAAGGTGAAAAGTCATCTTCCCATGGACTGTGAGTGGCAGTGCAGGTTCAGCTCACAGTGCCTACAACGGCCCCTGGGTATGTAGCTCCCCAGCCCACCCTGAAAATGAGACCCCAATCCTAAATACTATGTTATATTCCTTTGCTTCCTTTTTTTGTGGGGGGGATACTGGGGATTGAACTTAGGGGTACTCGACTACTGAGCCACATCCCCAGTCCTTTTTTTGTATGTTATTTAGAGACAGGGTCTCACTGAGTTGCTTAGCACGCAAAATTGCTGAGGGTGTCTTTGAACTCACAATTCTCCTATCTCAGCCTCCCAAGCACTGGGATTTACAGGCGTGTGCCATAGCGCCGAGCTCCTTTGCTTCCCTTTTTAATGTTACTTCATTTTATCATATATACTACTAAAAAATATCTTTTTTGGTTTTAGTTGTTTTGACTTTGTGGTGACTAGTAGAACTGAGGAACTGAATTTTATCATTCTTAATTTGTATTAAAGTTAAGTAGTGGGGCTGGGGATGTGGCTCAAGCAGTAGCGCGCTCGCCTGGCATGTGTGCAGCCTGGGTTCGATCCTCAGCACCACATACCAACAAAGATGTTGTGTCCGCCGAAAACTAAAAAATAAATATTAAAATTCTCTCTCTCTCTCACTCTCTCTAAAAAAATTAAAGTTAAGTAGTCACACATGGCCAATGGTGACTGCCTTAGCACATGTCTCAACTACTTCTAAAACAGGTCCATATTGTTGGCATGCAGCTATAGACGGGGAATTAGCAAATTTTTTTTACAAAGGGCCACAAAGCAAATATTTAAGGCAGGCCATATAGTAAACACTTTAAAAATGCAAAATCAAGCCAGGCATAGTGGTGCACACCTATAATCCCAGTGGCCTGGGAGGCTAAGACAGGAAGATTGCAAGTTCAAAGCCAGCCTCAGCAATTTAGCAAGGCCCTAAGCAATTCAGCAAAACCCTATCTCAAAACATAAAACCAGATGGGGATGTAGTTCAGTGATGGTTCAACACCCCTGGGTTCAACCTCCGATATCCCCCCCAAAATGTAAAACCACTCTTAACTTGTGGGTAGTGTAAAAACAGGCTTTAGGCTGGATTTGGCCCACAGGTTGTAAAATCTCCACTTTTAGCTCATGGAAAAGCTCTTCCTAGAATGCTCCAGGCCCTAGATTCAATCCCCAGCACCACCACACACATACACACAAAAAGCCACCCCCCTCCCACCAGCACACACTTCATTACTTCATCGATCCTTCCTCTAATCAATGGGCATTAGTACTGTGTTCAGGTTTCGTTATCAGTCACAGCAGTATGAACGCTCTCAGATGTGTTTCCTCATATACACATGCAGGAATTTCTTTTGGGTGCAAAACGAGAAGCAGGGTTGCTAGGCAATGATTTCTAAATGTTCAGTTTCACATGACATCACCAAATTATTTTCCAGAATGGCTGACAAATTTATATTCCCCCAAGCAATATGTAAGATATCTATCATGCAGATCTCTACATCCTATCCAAATCATAGTACCATCAGATTTTTAATTTATGCCACTACAATAAACATAAACTGGCATCTCGTTGTGATCTTGATCTGCATCTCCCTGATCACTATAGAAGGTAAAACATTTCTTCATGTTTATGTGACTTTAAGTTATCTATGCATCTTTGTTTTTCCACTTTTATAAAATGCCTCTTTCATATCATCTGGGTTATTTGTAGGTATCCTTTTGGGTATTCTTGATACTAAGTCTTCTGCTGGTATTATATTTATTGGAGATATGTTATCCTCACTTTGGAACTTCTTTGTTAGGTGTCTTCTAATGAGAAGTCTTAATTTCAATAAAGCCAATTTGTGCAATCTTTTCTCTGACAGTACTTTCCATGTAGTGAGGAATCATTTCTTTACCTAAGACTGGGAAAATATTTACCTACTAATAAATCTAAATAATATCTAAACTTTTAAAACCTTACTTTTAACATTTAAAATTGGAAATTGTAATATAGTACATAAGGAACCACTTTCATTTCCCCACAAAGATAATGCCTTTTAACTTTCCATTAACATCATAAGGATCCCAGCTACTCAGGGGGCTAAGGAAGGAAGATCACAAGTTCAAAGACACCCTCAACAATTTAGTGAGACCCGTCTTCAAATTAAAAAGGGTTGGTTCAACCCCTACTACTGCCAATAAACAAAACAAAACAAACAAAAACCAGTTAGGGATAACAAGATTCCCCCAAAATGCATTTGCTGATCCCATGAAATGCTCTCCAAAATCCCAAATGGAAGATCACCTGAGCCCAGGAATTCAAAACAAGCCCCAGTCACATAGCAATACACCATCAGGGAAAAAAATCCTCCAATGGGACTACTAAGATGAATTCAAAATTTGCAGAAAGTAAAGGACCAAGAATAGCCAAAATACTCTGACTAAAAGAATAACAAAATGATATACCTACCCAATTTCATTTTTTATTACCACTATATTAATCTATATAAACTGTTGAATATAAAAGAATAGCATTACAAAGTACTTAGGGATCAAGTTAATGGTATCCACACTTAAAAGCAAAATAATGAGATTTCTGGAGCCCATGAAATCTGGTGAACATGTTTGGTCACCAGGTCTCCCCAATGGACTATCCCAATTATAGAGCAAAAACTCGATTTTAGCTGCTCCACAGAACAATCCTATGCACCAGTGTAATGAGCAGTGATGATACAAGATGACTCCATCACCAAAGGACAGGGATAGTCATGGCAAATGGGAAACTGTTGGAATAATCCTTGAGAAAAGGCTAATCCCTTAAGTGGTCTCACTACTATGTAACATGTACACTCTACCTTTTAAATGAAGTGTTTTAAAAAATAAAGCTTTAGGGTTTTTCTGAAAATGGCACATATTCATCTTTCATACGTTCAGCACAAACCTACGAGAAAAAGAGATTACTCACTAGGCAAGTCTTCAATGTGCCACATCCTAAAATGAATGCAGCAATTAATACCAGTGCTTAACAATAACCACATGCGCACAAATGATGACAACAGCCGAGCCGGTGGTGCATGCCTGTAATCTTACTGGCTTGGGAGGCTGAAGCAGGAAGATCACAAGTTCAAAGCCAGCAAAGCAAGGCACTAAGCAACTCAGTGAGACCCTGTCTCTAAATAAAATACAAAAAAGGGATGGGGATGGAGCTCAGGGGTCTGAGTGACCCTGAGTTCAATCCTTGATACCTGCCCCCCTCCCACAAAAAAGGGGGTGACAACAAAAGCCACACACAAAAACACCCTAGGACCAGGAATTGCTACTTAAAAGTTATGAGTCAAGGTCTGGCAGCATCACGTCACCCTGGAGCTTGTTACAGTGCAGATTCTCAGGCCTGACCCAGACCTAGTGAATCAGAGTGTGTATTTTAATGAAAATCCCAATGATTTGTGTGCACTGAAGGTGGTAAGGCTATAGACATTTGTGTGCACTTGCAAAGAAATATCCCAGCCAAGCATGGTGGTGCATACCTGTAATCCCAGTGGCTCAGGAAGCTGAGGCAGGAGGATCATGAGTTCAAAGCCAGCCTCAGCAACTTATCAACTCAGTGAGAACTTGCCTCTAGTTAAAATATTTTTTTAAATGGCTGGGGGTATGGCTCAGTGCTTAAGTGCCCCGGGGTTCAATCCCTCGTACTAAAAAGAAAAGAAATACCCTAGATGACTATCTGCTCTTTTTTCTCTGAATCCACTCATGGTTGTCTGCTATTCTCATGACATTGAGTCAAACAGCTACACTTCTATACTGCTTTTTCTGATTTTTATCCTTCTACCCATTTCTTTCTTTTGCCTTTTTTGTCTTTGTCTTTTTCTATCACTTCTTGCATGGTTCTTCTCATGTGAATGGTGATAATGGGGACTAGCTTCCACAGCAAATGGAAGCAATCCTTTCCTGAAGCCAGCAATCCACTACATTGTGTTTTCTGCCAACTTTGCAGGGTCACTTTCAATGATGCACAGGATTTCCTACTGCTCCAAATAGTAGAAGGTGCCAGACTACAGAATATCAGCCAAGCAGAGTAGGCCTGGACCACTCTGTAAACTAAGGGAAAGGAAGTCATTCTTTGAGTAATCAATAAACAGAATTCATTTCTTTAAGGTGGATGGGGGAATCTCATGAAAATTGAAGGGAGACCAGAATAGAGTAAAGGGACCAGGCAAGGGAGGAAGGAAGGAAAGGGGAAATATTGGGGAATGATGTTGGCCAAATCATATCATATGGTATGCATGTATGAATATATAACAACAAATCCCACCCTTATGTACAACTGTTATGTGCCAATAAAAATTAATTTCTTTGGGCTGGTCATTGACAAAAAGTAATAATTTATAATATGGAATAGCTGCTAATAAGAGATTAAAATACATAAAAATATTTAATGATAATTCACCTAAATATTTCACAAAAGGCAACAATTTTACCATATACATTCATTGTAAAAGTTTCCCACAACCCTTCTATCAAAGGACTCTATGCCTTTCCAATTCTTCAATTAAAATAGGATGGCAGGGTTTCCATATTGAGACTGCTTTCACAATTCCAAAATGATATTAATGCTAATTAAAACAACAAATGCAGAACAAACTCTTTGATGAGGTTGATTTCTTTGGAAGATGGAAAAATGAACAAGTGACACAGAGTAGATGCTAAATAAATTCCTTGAGATATTCCTGAGGCCATTTAATCTAACCCACAATTTCAATCCAAATGGTTATAGCCTTTGTCTCTAGAATTCCCTTAGGAAAAGTTAAATACAGGAACCACTATACCCCCAACTTCAACACAGCAATGAAAAGGCTGACTTAGAACTCTAAAACCGAGCTTTAAAAAATCTATGCCAGCTGGGTATGGTGACATAGATAGGCCTGTAGTCCCAGTTCTGTGGGAAGCTGAGGCAAAACAATCACTTAAGCCCAGGAATTTGAGACCAGCCTAGGAAACAGTAATGAGACCCCCCATCTCAACACAAACAAACAAACAAACAAACCCCAAAAAAATCTATGCCACAGCTCAGCACTATAATGTTCTCCATCTATTACCTGGCAAATTGAAATTAGGCAATCAACAAAAAGCCCCAAGAAATCCAATTCTCCCCTTCCATTTTAGAATAAAATATAATTTAAAGCTAACGCAAAATTATAGTTTAAAAATCGATATTATCAAGGCATACATTTTGCTGTATTTCATATGGCCCTCACATCCTTGATTTAATACTCACAAGATCAGCATATTTCTTACAGAGAGCTGCCAGCTTCTCCTCTGGGGTTGAAAGGGTGTTTAGGGCTTGCATCAGTAATAAAACTTCTTTTCCTGATAATTAACAAGATAAGAAATAAGTCCCAGAAGAAGAAGATGATTGAATCTAATCAGCTAATTCTACTAACACTTGCCATGTTTTCATATTGAAAATAAAGTAACATATCTACAACTGGAAATAAGCTTAATTAAGAAAATTATTTTGGGGACTAGGGGTGTGGCTCAGTGGTTAAGCAATTGCCCAGCAAGCACGATACATTGGGTTTAAACCCTGGTACCAACAAAAAAAAAAAAACAAAAAAGGAAGGAAGAAAGAAAGAAAGAAAGAAAGAAAAGCTATTTTAAAATTTTGGATTAGCAGGCTACCATCCACACCCCAAATTTCTTCACTCACTCATTAACACTGCTATTTCTAAGAACACTTGTTGAAAATTCCCTTGCCTACCTCTGATGTCCAAGTTAAGACAAAGGGCAAATTACAAAGGGCACAGAATATTTTTAAAAGCTTCCTCCTAACCAAGTACAACTACAGAAACAAGTTCAAAGGGAGTTTCAGTTGGTACTATGCCTTGTCTATCCAAAATGTATACAATCACTGGTGACCCATATTTTTTCCTTTGAGCAATTAAATAACTTATCTTCTAGTGATGTACTAAGCATATTCCTTGTGTTAGCCAAGGTCAGTACAAATAAAAGCACAAGATAGCTCTTCCCTTGGGACAAAGAGCTTAACAAGAGTATTTTAAGGACTTTGGCAGGGAGAGGCAGTTAGCTGAGACAGGAGGGGACAAGTGGTGTCTCAGAAGAGATCAGGCATGTTCAGGATAGTATGGACACAGAAAAATGGTGCTTCAAGATAAGTGATAACATATTATTTCTCAAGCTGAGTGGTAGGTACCATTTTTATTTTTTAATGTTTATTTTTACATGTAATATATTTCATTAAAATATATATCTTAGGGCCAGGGTTGTGGCTCAGTGGTAGAGTGCTTGCCTAGTATGTATGCAGCACCAGGTTCAATCCCCGGCACCACATTAGAAAAATAAACAAAGTTTAAAAAAAAAAAATATATATATATATATATATGTATGTATATATCTTAAAATGACTTTGGTGCCATGCACAGGGGGGCACGCCTATAATCCCAGCAATTCCAGAGGCTGAGGAAGGAGGTTCATAATAAGGCCAGCCTCAGCAATGTAGTGAGACCCTGTCTCCAAACAAAAAATGGGCTGGGGATGTAGATCAGCAGTACACATTCATGGGTTCGATCCCCAGGACTGAGAAAGAAAGAACAAACAAACTAACTTTGGCATCTAGTATGGGGGAAAAGCAGGCCAATTTCAAGAAAGAATACTTCTGGGCTGGGGTATACATCAGTGGTATAGCACTGAACCACCATGCAGAAGTCCAGGTTTAATCCTCAGCATCACAAAAAAATAAATAAATAAAGGGAAAGGAGGGGTTAGGGTTGTGGCTCAGAAGTAGAGTGTGTGAGGCGCTGGGTTCGATCCTCAGTACCACATAAAAATAAAATAAAGGTATTGTGTCCACTTACAACTAAAAAATAAATGTAAAAAGAAAAAAAAGAACGAATGAAAGGAAAAGGGAAAAAAAGAATATTTTTCAGACCAGGGGTGCTGGCAAAGGCTTCTGATCCCAGCTAATCAGGAAGATGAGGTGGGAGGATTCCCTGAGCCCATTGAGGCAATAAAACATGACTATTGAGTATGATCAGAAATAATCATAATGTCACTTATACTATTATGAAGAATTGAAAATTCCATCTTTTTTAGATAAGTTGCATACCATAAAGTTCATTTTGTTTATTTATTTATTTTTAGAGATGAGATCTGTAAAGTTCCAGGATAGCCTTGAACTCCCAGGCTTAAGTGATCCTCCTGCCTCATCCTCCAGATTAGCTGGGACTACAGGCTCTTGCCACAGTGCCCAGGTACAATTCACTTTTTAGGTGTACAATTTAGTATATTCACAAGGTTGTATAACCATCTCCACTATCTTAACTCCAGAACACTTTCATTACCTTAAAAAGAAAATGACACCTATTAGCAGTCACTACTCATTCCTCTATCCTCCCCAGCTCTGGCAATCACAAATCTATTTCCCTGTCTTCATAGATTTGTCAATTCTGGACATTACATATAAAATGGAGTTACACAATTGTGGATTTTTTTGTGTGTCTGACTTACTTCACTTTACAAAATGTTTTTAAGTTCATTCATGTAGTATGATGTATCAATGCTTCGTTCATTTTTATGGCTGAGTAATATTCCATAATGCAGACAGACCACATTTTGTTTATCTGTTTATTATTCGATATTTATTATTTATAAATTTATTATTCCCACTTCTTGGCTGTTATGAATAATGCTGCTCTGAACATTTGTATAAAAGCTTGTATGCACGTTTTCAGTCCTCTTGGCTACATATCTAGATGCAGAATTGCTTGGTTATGATTACATTATCTGGAACTCTTACATGCTTTTACACATGTAATTAGGGCTATCAATTTAAGAAATTATGTCTTGTTTGTAAGGAATTAAAATTATTTTCATATTCCTGCCAGACAAAGTGGCACAAGCCTATAATCCCAGCAACTCGGGAGTCTGAGGTAGGAGGATTCCAAGTTCAAGGCAAGACTTAGCAAGACCCTTTGAGACTCTGTCTCAAAATAAAAAAATTAAAAAGGACAAGGGATATAGGTCAGAGGCAAAGTACTCCTGGGTTCAAACAACAAGAATAACTGAGGGACAACCAATAAGACTAAAATAAAATAGGTTTTCAAATTTCCTTCATGAGATTTAGCCTGTCACATTCTTGATCTAAACTGCAAGCTACATAGCAAAGGAGAGAAAATATACCCTGAAAGCTAGTCGACCCGCTTTCTGAACTACAGATAACATTATGATGTCTCTTGAGTTTTGTTCCTTATCTTTAAAGAAACTGATCAAATAAATACATATTTTTGGTCAGACTACATTAAAGATGTAACAAGTCAAATACCACTTCAGTCAAGGTGGCCCCTAATTTTTTCAAGAAAACTCTTTTTTGTTGTTGTTGTTGTAGATGGACACAATACCTTCATTTTATTTATTTATTTATATGTGGTGCTGAGGATGGAACCCAGTGCCTCACATGTGCTAGGCAAGCACTCTACCACCGAGCTACAACTGCAGCCCCAAAAAGTGAACTCTTGATTTTTTTAAAATATTTTTTTTAGTTGTAGTTGGACACAATACCTTTATTTATTTTTATGTGGTGCTGAGGATCAAACTTGCTCATGCTAGGTGAGCACCACAACCCCAGCCCGAACTCTTTTGATTTTTTTAAAGAGAAATAACTACACTTCCTCCTCTGCTATTTTTGCCTCCTAAACATAACTGCAGCAGACATGCAGACTGACCTCACCAGTAGGTATATTAGCTAAACACCTCCCAACAGGTCAAGTTCATGGCCACTGTGCTGCAGAAAATATGAGTAAAATGAGCAGTATGTGAAAATGTGCAACCACTGAGCAGAGATTATTACCTAAGGTTTTTTCTTTGTTCCTGGTGCACTCTGAATCTTGCTGACCATCAGGGGGATCTGTTCGAGCTTCTCGTCCAGGAATTTCCTCTCTTGACTCCTGGGCCCGGTAGGCTGAGCTCACCAAATTCCTGTTCTTTGTTATAAAATCACTGCTACCTTCATCCTCTTCCAGTGAATGCTTGTTACTTGTGCCACCACATTTGGAGTCTTGATGTTGAAGAATATCATTTGATTGAGAGTTACACAACATATCAGCTTTCACCCCTAGCCCACAAATTCCAGTTTCTTCCATTGTGCTAATTTCAAACTAGAGGAAAGTGGACGGAGAAAAAAAAAGATGGAAAAAGTTAAATTAAATGCAATCCATATTTATAACCAATGACAGATACATCATAGCTTGACAGCATTTTTTTCTTGGTGGTTTGTAAAATCAAAGTAAATAAGCACTTTCTAAGTTTCACTGAGATAAATTACAAGTTTAAAAAGGCCAGTTGTGGTGATACACAACTGTTATCCCAATGACTCAGGAGACTGAGACAGAAGAATCACAAGTTCAAGGCCAACCTTAATTAGCAACTTAATGAGACCCTCGGTAATATGGTGAGACTCTGCTTCAAAATAAAAACATAAAAAAGACTGGGCTAGGGTTGTGATTCAGTGCTAAGAGCGCTTGCCTAGAATGTGTGAGGCACTGGGATTGATTCTCAGCACTGCATATAAATAAATAAATAAAAATAAAGGTTCATTGGGCTGGGGTTGTAGCTCAGTGGTACAGTGCTTGCCTTGCATGCATGAGGCCCTGGGTTTAATCCTCAGCAGCATATAAAAAAATAAAAATAAAGATATTGTGTCCATCTACGACTAAAATAAAAATATTTTTTAAAAAATTAAGGCTCATCCATAACTAAAAAATATTTTTTTTTAAAAAAAGGACTGAGGATGTATCTCAGTAGTTAAGAGTCCCTGGGCTCAATCCTGAATATAAAAAATATTTTAAAAGGGATGGGGGTGTATAGCTAAGTGATAAAGTGCATGTGTAGCATGTCTTGGTTTGGATCCCTGAACCCAGATTAAATTAAACAAAATAATAAAGTTAAAACAAATCACACAACTAAGTTGTACCAAAACAGGTCTAAAAAATAACATTTGGTTATAAATCTTTAGTTATTTCACTATAAAAAGTCATTTAAAAATAACCAGAACACCTTAACAGAAGTGAAATTGTCTCCAAGTCAATGAACATTAATTATTCTGGTCTTATCCTTAAGACAGGATGGCAGAGATAACTAGGTAACTATCCACCAAAAGCTAGCTCCTATACCATCCTCTGGAGCTGCCACTATGGGACACATACCAGCCACTCACATTCTAGATGGGGCTCCCGTGTGAAGCTCTCACTGAGAGAATGTGAACAAAGGTAATGACTGTCACTTTTACAACCAGACTTTCATTCTCAAAAGCACATATTCTTTCTCTACCATCCCTCCTTCCCTTCTCTGGATGAATGCAGGTCTCCAACATGGTACAGGATGGCAGAGCCAAAAAATGAAAGCAGTGTGGACCCCTAAATCCCACACAGGAAAGTCAACCTCCCTGCAAAGAAAACCCACAACTGGACTAATAGGTGAACAAGTAATAAACTTCTCTCATGTTAAGCCATAGGAAAAAAAATAGGGAGGGGGGTGTGTGTGCCAGGGATTGAACCCAGGGGCCCACAACCACTAAGCCACATTGCCAGCCTTTTTGGAGACAGATTCTCGCTAGGTTGCTTAGGACTCCACATTGCTGAGGCTGGCTTTGAACTTGTGATCCTCCTGCCTCAGCCTCCTGAGTTGCTGGGATTACAGTTGTGCACCACTGTGCCTGGCCAGCCATAGAATTTTTGAGGCTGGTTGGGTGTGGTGGTGTGCACCTATAATCCTAGTTACTTGCAAGAGTAAGGCAGGAGGACTGCAAATTCAAAGACAGCCTAGGCAACTTAGTGAGACCCTGTCTTAAAATTAAAAAAAAAAAAAAAAAGGAGCTAGGTGTAGTAGTAGTGGCACACACCTGTAATCCCAGCAGCTCAAGAAGCTGAGACAGAAAAATCACAAGTTCAAGACTAACCTCAGCAACTTAGCCAGGCCGTAAGCCGCTTAGTGAGATCCTGTCTCAAAACAAAAAGGGCTGAGGATGTGACTCAGTGGTAGAGTACACTGGGTTTAAACCCCACTATTTGGGATTAAAAACTGAAAGAAGAAAAAATTTTAGGGGGTATTTCAATCCCCTTTCCCTGCCCTAAATAATACATACACATAATATGTTAAGATATCTTTATTCCAGGGGGTTTTTTTCCTCTTTGAATCAGTTATTTTACCTTATTCTCTATTCTATCATATTGTCAACACTATTGGTTTATGTAGGCTTTCCCACTTGTTAGCACTCCTTGGTCATGTGATGTGGCACAAATGTAAATTTGGTACATTTCCTCCCTGAATGAGGGTTTCTTCCTTTCAGAATAATACCACTGAAGTAGTTGGTATCTAATATCCATCTCTTGCCAAAGCTGGACAAAAGTTATTTTCAACAATTAATGAGGGACTGGGGGGGATATAACTCAGCTGGTAGAGTGCTTGCCTCACATGCACAAGGCCATGGGTTCAATGCCCAGCATCACAAATAAACAAAAATTAGTGAGCTGGACTGGTGGTACACACCTGTAATCCAGCGGCTTAGGAGGTTGAGGCAGGAGGATCATGAGTTCGAGTTCAAAGCCAGCCTCAGCAATAGTGAGGTGCTAAGCAACTCGGTGAGACTGTCTCTAAGTAAAATACAAAATAGGGCTGGGGGTGTGGCTCAGTGGTTGAGTGCCCCTGAGTTCAATCCCCCGGTACCAAAAATAATAATAGTAATAATAATAATAATAATAATAATAGCAGCAGAGATTTGTTATTTCAAGTTGTAACATATCCAATTGAAGAACTAAAAATAATTTAAAGTATTAGAGTAGGAGGGGATAGAAAGAAGGGAGGGGTCAAAGAAACTAAAACCTTAACTTTCTTAGTTTGATAAATCAAGTTCTATGCTTTTGGAAGAACAAACTGGCACCGTCAACTGAAAAACTCTTAGGCAATATGAATACCTTCTAACCTATTTAACTTTACTCCCAGGATTCTACCCAAGTGTGTACATACGTGTGCCCAAAGGCCAACAATGTTTAAAGCAACACTATTCATAATGGCCCTAAGATGGAACCAACCCAAATTTCTATCAACAGAAAATGGATAAATTGCAATACACTTACACTATCCAGCAATGAGAATGAGATTCAGTAACACATGAGTCTCACAGACCTAAACCTGTGAGAAAGGTAACAGAAGAGTATGTTCTACAGAAAGCCACTTACATATAAAAATAGGCAGGGCCTTCTGGGTGCTTGGTAATATTCTATTTCTTTTTCTTTTCTTTTTTTTAAGTTGTCAATGGACCTTTATTTACTTATATGTGGTGCTGAGAATCGAACCCAGTGCCTCACACATGCTAGGCAAACACTCCTCCACTGAACTACAACCCTGGCCCCCAATATTCAATTTCTTGATCTAGAGAGGAAACACACATATTCAGCTACTCACATTATGAAAACTTATTAAGAAGCCCAAATATTTTTGATTTGTATGTTTTTCTAAATGTATGAATTGCAATTTACACAATAGTCAAGAGTACTACTGCCTATTTTTTAACTGGATTGTTATTTTGCTAGTGAGTTGTGAGAGTTCTTTATGTTACTAGTCTCTTATCAGACACATGGTTAGCAAATATTTTTTCCCATTACTGATTTTCCATCCCCTCAGAGAAAAGGCACGATATATACGCCTATCTCAAAATGCCTTAAGATTTAATTAAAAGCTACTCTTGATATCAGATTAAAGGTATATAAAGTTAGTTACTATTATCATATGCAGAATAAATACAGTTTTAAAAGATTTGAGAAAGGCCCAAATGATGTAACTCAAAATTATACCTGGTGGCATTTAGCATAAATAAGAATATAAGGGGTTGGGGTTATACCTCAGCAGTAGAGCACTTGCCTCACACATGTGAGGCACTGGCTTTGATCCTCAGCACCATATAAAAAATAAATTAAATAAATAAAGATATTGTGTCCATCTTTAAAAAAGGATATTAATCTGAACAGTGCACCAACATCACATTTCATGTTTTCTTTCTAACTTAATGTCACCATTTCCTGTTTATACTTAATATTTCTGTTTAGTTTTTCCAGACATTCCTTCTACCTCTGAACCCCTAACACACATTATAGAAAACACCACTATTATTATTCTATCATTAACGCAAACAGTATTCTTTCCCATGCAACTAATTTTGATGCAGTAGTATTGTGTGGTATTTTTTACATTTGCTAATGAAAGCCTTTGGCTCTATAAAAAAATCTTTGTTTTTGAATGAGCCCAATTCTAGCTGGGCTTGATTCAAACCGTAATGTACAAATATGTTTGAAATAGCAGGCCCCACCCAGGCATGGTGGTACACCTGTAATCATAGCAACTGTGAAGGCTGAGGCAGAAGAATCACAAGTTCAAGGCCAGCCTGGAAAACACACAAGACCCTGTCTCAAAATACAAAAAAATAAAAAAGACAGGGAAAGTGGTTCAGTGGTAAAGGACACTTCAGTTCAATTCCTAGTACCAAGAAAGAAAGAAGAAAGGAAGAAAGGAAGGAAGGAACGAACGAACGAAGGAACAAAGGGGCTCCAATTTTTCTAATGCAAGGACTATTCATTTTTTTTAATCTTTTTTTTTTTAAAGAGAGAGTGAGAGAGGAGAGAGAGAATTTTTAATATTTATTTTTTAGTTCTCGGCGGACACAACATCTTTGTTGGTATGTGGTGCTGAGGATCGAACCCGGGCCGCGCGCATGCCAGGCGAGCACGCTACCACTTGAGCCACATCCCCAGGCTGGACTATTCATTTTTAATCTACTTGAGACCCTGTCCTGGGCTATTGGATATGAAGCAAATTTTTAGGCCAAAAACTTCATTGAATGTATTTAAATTAGAAATGATTTCTCAGCCCTCATCTCTTCAGAGAATTCTGTGTCATATGGCCAATAAAATTTCCTACTTTGTCCTCCCTCTCCAATATGCATTCCATATGCCTTTTCTTCAGGACAATCTCATATGGACAACAGCAGTAGCAGCTAACGTTTGTGCAGCAAATACCACATACAGACAACCACTGTAAGCTTTTTCCTACATTAGCTAACGTAATTCTCAACGCCATGAAGTAGGTACTATTATGATCTCCACTT